ATATAAGCCCCTTAAAAAAAAACTGTAAAAACGTGTAATATCATAATATTAATATGGGAGTTAGAAATGAAAATTCTAACACTAGATAAAGCTTAAAAGAACTAAGACGACGGTAAAATATTGAAGTTTAATCTTTTATCTGTAGATTATTTGATCATCTAAATTATATTATTAATTGGTGTAACTTGGCGTAACTATATGCAAATCTTATGATCAACTATGCCGAAACTACGGAGAAACCTATTATAGAGGTTTCGGCATGTTTCGGCAGTTTCGCAATTTTGACAGGTTTCGCAGTTTCGGCATTTCGGCGTTTCAGCACTATATAAGAGGTTTCACCTTTCAGCATTAGGCCAAACAGGTTTCGGCAAGCAACCTTATTTAGTGTAGGACCGCGGTCTTTCGGTCCTGTATCACATATAATAAGACCGTCGGTCTTTTTAAAGACCGCAGTCTTTTTAAGACCGATCGGTCTTTTTTCTTTTTTTTGCAAATAAAAAAAGATTTTCTTCCCCAACTTTATTAGGAATAGCCTTGTTTTATAAATGAACACTAATTGGGATGATTTTTAATATAAATTTTTTTTTTTACAAATCACCTGAATATTATCACAACGTCATGCAAAATTTAAAGCTTTAAGAAAAAATACTTCAAAACGCAATATCTCGCTATCCAGTGATTATAAAAGGATAATTTTACCACCATTCGAATCGTCTCGCTGCGGCGCGTCGAATGGTATCAAAATCATGATTTTAGAATCGATAAAAAAAAATTATGTTGGCAAAACTATTTGATAATAAATTCAATAATTACCGACTATCTATTGATCCTAGAAACATGATTTAGTCACCATTCGACGCGTCTCGCTAAGACGATTCGAATGGTGGTGGTTTCATCCTTTTATGATCACTAGATGACGAGATATTCCGCTTAAACGCTTTTTTTGGAGTTTCGGAGTTTCAGCGTTTTGACAAGCAACTCTACAAGTGGGAAGAGTGATTGTCATTATTTATTGGTTTGAAATAGCCGGTCTTTATATTATTTTATGAAGACATTTGTCAGATTAATAGGTTTATTCAATATAAAAATCATTTATTATATGAAGACCGGTATGAGGACTGGTCGGTCCTCAGGACTGGTCCTACTGCGCCACAAAAAAATGCAAGACCGCGGTCCGGTCCTACAAGTCCTGGGACCGACCGGTCCAGGACCGAGTAGGACCGGTAGGACCGATGACCATCTTTAGCTCAACCAGTTTGTCAATTGTGCTACTGAAGGTTTATAATTTAGAAACATCACCCTTCGAAGTTCAGGAATTAATCTACTGCGAATTTCAACATTTTTTGGACTATTAAACGTTTTGTTATCATCCAAATTGTCATTAGGTTTAATAGTTTTGAGGATCATTTTCATTTCAATCTTTAAATCAGAACAATTAGTATAAAAGTATAAAGACTGTACAATTCTGCCTAAAATTACAAAATTATAAACCCTCGCCTCCTTTTCACGTTGTTCTTCTTGTTCTTCTTTTGGTTGATTTTCGGTGTAGTGTACCGTCTTCTTTACTTTTTTTGACCCATCTGATTTGAACCGTTTTGCTAACCGTTCTTCTGGAACATCAATAACATCAAGGCTTTCAGATGATGATTGTATCTGGTATTGTTCGAGTTTCGTTTTTAATTCGTTAACTTCTTCTTTCAAGTTGTCATTTTCAGAACCGAATTTTGCGTTAACACCAGCAAGAAATTCGTTATCTTCTCGTAAGCGAGCTATTTCAGTGGCAACGACAGCTGTATGTTTGGTTAATTCATTATTTCGTCATTCTAACTGTAAACACTTCGCAAGCAAATCAGATACTTCTTGAGATAACCTCTGATTCTCTGTATAAAAATGTAAAATCAATAAAAAAAAATACTAAATCTAACTGACGATATATACACGATACAGACCTGTTGATGCATTATCATCATCGCGGGTAGGTTCATTAGTTTGATATCTGACCGGAAGCCAAAGATTTTTATATCTCTCTTTTACACCTTGGACTCGTTCATGACTTGGCGCAGCAGATGGTGGTTAAGTATTGGACGAATCCGGAAGCCGAAGATTTTTATATCTTTCTTTTACACTTTGAGCTCGTTTATGACTTGGCGCAGCAGATGGTTGTTAAGTATTGGATGAATTTTTATTGATGTTAGTAGTTTGAGCTCGCTCATGAATTGGGGTGGCAGTCCCTTCAACAGCTTGTTGGATATTGGACGAACTTTTATTGATGTTAGTAGTTTGAGCTCGCTCATGAATTGGCGTGGCAGTCCCTTTAACAGCTTGTTGGATATTGGACGAACTTTTATTGATGTTAGTAATCGTTTTATTTTGATTATCACTAGCCAAACCTTTTTCAGTATTTTTATTTTTTCTATTTTTTTGGATCATTATTTTTTTTGGTTGCGAATTTTGGCTCATTATTTTCTTATTTTTTTTTGGTTGCGAAGAGTATTAGACGTTAAAACTCTAAAAAGAAAAGGTTGGTGAGAAAAAATGAAGTTTTATTTAAAAAATCAAACTTTAAGAAACTTTCGCCATCATACTGATCGAATAGTTTATTTTATTATTAATATTATTAATCAAACGATTTGAACGCAAATCGACATCATGTAATATTTATAATTTAAGTGATAGTTGATGATTTTAATAAATTTAATATAATTTAAGTATTATATAGACAATTAAAATCTAAAAAGATTAAACTCTAAAAAGAAAAAGGTTGGTGAGAAAAAATGAAGTTGTTTAAAAAATTAAACTTTAAGAAACTTTCGCCATCATACTGATCGATCGAATAGTCTATTTTATTATCAATATTATTAATCGAATGATTTATATTTATAATTTAAGTGTAGATTGATGATTTTAATAAATTTAGTATTACATCGACGCAGTTGATGATTTTAATAAAATTTATTCTAATTTAAGTATTTTAAACGAATTATATTGATATTATTGATATATTATTAACAATTAACTTTATTTCGAAAAACGTTCACAAAAATGACGAGAAAAAGATCATTATCAAGTATACTCAATGAAGAATCAGATTCTAGACCTCATGCCATACCTTCATCACGTATACAAAGAACCAGATCAGTGTCAAATATAATTGACGAAGAATCTTCAAATCAATCTTATCCTACATCATCACGTATTGGAAGGTTAGTTGCATGTAATTGTTCTGAATGTAATGGACGATTAGTAGATCCTCGTACGAAAACTATCCATGAAATTAACCAAGATTCAGAGGATAATGATTCAGAAAGAACAGAAGTACATCTAACTGATGAAGCTGAATTGCCTAGTGACGAACCATACAAAAGTGCCTCAATATCAGATGAACCACGAATGAGAGAATCGGAAGCTGAATTGCCTAGTAGACAACGATCAAGAAAATATGTTCAACTGGTTATAATTGCTGAATTAGGAGATATAGTAGATGATAAATCTTCTGAATCTTCTGAATATACTACAGAGGAAGATGCAAATATCGATGATAGAAATGAATCATCCGATAATGAACCATCAATGATGACGAATACCACGAAATTTTTGAAGATTATTCATATCCACCTTTCAAACCATTTCAAGATTCTGATACTGAACAATCAATAAATAATCAGTTCTTATGGATATTATTATGGATCATGAGCTTCTGAACCAGGTTTAACTTACCAGAAACAGCTACAGAATCATTGATAAAATTCTTGAAGCTTGTTCTAACAGAAATTGGTAGTCCTGATTTTGACACATTTCCTCACACTTTATATCTAGTAAGAAAAGCCCTTAATCTTGAAGACTGGTTTCATAGTTTTGTGGCGTATTCCAAATGCCACAAATTATACAACAAACAGGAAATAAAAAGTTTTCTCCAAAATGAGCAACCTGCCATCATGAAGTGTTACCATGTCGAATTTACTAATTAGACAACTCGAAGATTAAGGTTGTGCCAAACACCTTTGGCACAGAAAACAACATTGTTAAATAACCAAATTTCAATCAAACCTGAATTATTATTTCCGTTTGTGAGTATTAAGCAGCAATTGGAAGCAAATGTATCATCAACCTAACTTTGAAAATTCTCTAAGGCATTGGATAAATCGTCCAACTTTCGATAATATCCTAACTGATATATACGATGGTGAAGTTTGGAAAACTTTTAAAGAAACGACAGATGAAAGTTCGAATAATTTTTTCCAATCTGATGTTGCTGATTCACACCTCGGATTGATTTTGAATTTGGATTGGTTTCAACCCTTCGACGGTACAATTCACAGCACCGGAGTAATATACGCTGCAATCGGTAACCTTCTGAGGGATGTCAGATTCAAGCGCAATAATATCTTGATTCTTGGCTTATTAACCGGCCCAGATGAAGTAAGTTTACATAAGATTAATCACTATCTGGCACCAATCATTGATGAGTTGAAGTCACTTTGGGAAGGAGTGACATTAAATAAAACGTATAAATGTCAAGAAGGGAAAAGAATTCGCGCAGCTCTGATTCTTGTTTCATGTGACATACCGGCTGCAAGAAAAATTTGCGGACATATTTCCGCTTTGGTGTCGTGTCATAGATGCGAAAAGAAGGCGAATTATGAAAATCGGCAGCATAATTTCACTGGGATAAATGAAATGGACGAATGGTTTACTTGCCGTGATTCGGCTCAACATCATCAAGATGCTATAGGATGGAGACGCTGTAATTCGGACACAGCAAGAAAACGATTTGTAAAGCAAACTGGAATTAGATGGTCCGAATTATTGCGTCTACTATATTTCGATCCACTTCGGTTCATTACAATCGACCCGATGCACTGCTTGTTTCTGGGCATCGCAAAATAGATTGTAAGAAGACTTTGGATCGAAAATGGCGTATTAACAACATATATTTTGAAAACAGTTCAGAAAAAAATGGATGAATTTAAAGTTCCAGCTGACTTGGGTCGAATCCCGGGAAAAGTCGATTGTGGAGATGGGTTTTCAAATTTTACTACGGATCAATGGAGAATATTTTTTACAATATATGCAACGGTCTCTCTCTGGGAACATCTTTCTGAGAATGACAGGAAGATTCTCATGAATTTTGTGAGAATTTGTTCAATTTCAGTAAGTCAAATTGTAGAAATCGATTTCATGAGAGAGGCGCATCAGAGGCTAATTAACCTAGTGAAGTTGATAGAAGAAAATTACGGTCATGATAAAATCACACAAAATTTACATTTATCACTTCACTTATGTGAATGCTCACTCGACTATGGACCTTTATATACATTCTGGTGTTTTTCCTTTGAGCGCATGAATGGCATGCTAGGTATAATATTTTAAATATTCTTGTTACTTTCTAAAATAATGCATTTTTATCAACTTTTGTTTAAAATAAATTTAGGCTCTTTTCAAAATAGCAGAAGGAAAATTGAACCAGAAATTATGCGCCGCCTGATGTTTGATAATCAAATCAGTAATATCATTAATTCCGGCGTGGAATCAAAGGGCCTAGATTTGATTAGTAATAGACCATCTGTTGGCTCTCTATCAGAAGCCGACCAATTTTCTGCTGATGAAATAAGGCGATTTTGGTTGACTTCAAGAAACATTCATGAATCGACCACCACAGGAAAAGAAGCATTTCAGGGCAAAATGCTCAGACCAGTATTTAACGATATTGTAATGTCAAGTGATATGCTTGACTTAATAGTTGAATACTACATGGCGAGCTACGAAA